CCCTTTCACCTAAATCTTACACACTGGACCTTTAAATGAACTTACAACAATTAGGAAATGTCATGTTTTGAGAGCAGTCTCTCTAGACAAAGAGTATCATCTTGTGTCTTTGTTGTTAACACATTTAAATGATCATATAGAAGGAGACCTAGTTGAAATATAAATCTTATATTGACTGATTTAAATAATTGATTTGAACAACTAGACACAACACTTTCAATTGACTCACCACAACTTTGAAGGATCTGGGTGCAGCCACAGCACATTGCCCGTGGAAATCGAGTTTTGAGGATAGTAGTGCTCAAAATCCACACAAACTGAAACCACCACACATAAATGCCCCATTATGCAGTTTAATGTATTATTGACAGTGATGCACTGATGTTATATAAACTGGATAAAGTATATCTAATCAGACTGAAACCACCTTATCATGTCTCAGCTCACAGAGTTAGTGATGGAGCTTAGTGCAGCATGCCCTGTAAATCCCAACAGAAGGGTATTAACCTGTTTAAATTAATAACCATCACTTCCTGCCCGCCCACAAGCTTTTTGATTCATATTTCACACCCTCTTGAGCCTTTGTTCTTCAAGCTGTGGAGACACATGCACAAGGGGGAAATATTTTAGCCTCAAAATGTCAGTCGCTGCACTTTCCTCACCAGCTGCTGCTTAGAAACACTGTTGTTTCATGCTGCTGTATTTTTATCCTCCTCCCCTCTTGTCTTTGTCTTCTTCTGTCTCCTCTTTTTCTTTTAAATGTTTTATTTTGTGCCAGGGAGATGGATTTTCTTTGTCTTCCTTTACAGTGCAGCGTTGTTTGAGCTGTTCGCCAGTGTCTTTCTGTTCTGCTCTCGCTGCAGCCTATCATGCTGTGTTGTCTGTTTTTATTTTATTTTATGGTGCAGACGGTGTCAGATTTGCCTCCTTTGAATCTATGTTTTCTCCAATAATGTTTCGGAAAGCAGAATGGTAGGAAGCATGCGGGTTGGGAGTATATATGCTCCTTAGTGCCAGAATCAAATTCTCCCCCTTTACAACTCTCCACACTGGAAAAGTGGGTGTGCACCTTGGAGTGATTTTGGAGTGAAAGTGAAGAATGATTTTTAAAAGGCGTAAGTGACCTGATCAAATCCCATCGGAAGATATAAAAATCTGCGAGGTATAGAACAAACAAGTACATTTGCCACATATACCACAGGTTTATTAATTGAAAAACTCATTGATTGAGAAATCATTATACATGCCCCCCTGGTAAAAACATTCGATATAGAAAATCAGAAATGCTTCCCTCATATTTTCCTGAGAATACTGACATTATCTCTACATGTCATCACCCTGGCTCTGAAAAATGAAAGGTGATCTTGTATTTCATTCCAATATCTTACAACAGGAGTTATGTAAGTCCTCTTAATGGAGCCTCTATGTTCTGTGATACGCTCTTTAAGGGAATGGAAGGTCTCACTAACACTCCACACTGAGAGTTGCCTTGAGGAGCTTTGGTCATGAGTTCAGTTTTAGAGACTTTACAATGTTGACATGCTCTGACAGCTCAGTCCCTCGTGTTCCTTCCTCTTTTGAACAGTACGGTAGGTACTGGAGGATCAGGCATTTCGGGGAATATACCAATGGTTTAGAATTGTGGCCTTCAAGGTCTTAGTCTAAGGGGTGAATGTAGTGCAGTTAATAAATCCTGAAGGGTTTGGACATGCAGATAAGTGCCTCAGCTCCTTGAATCCACTTTGTTTTCTGCAGGTATGAGCCCATCTTCTTTGTAAAACCTTTGAAATAACATCTTTTCAACCTTTCAACCTATATGCTACTAATGTAATGAAGCCTTTTTTTGCATTCACCTGTATCTGAGATTAATCTATAGTTGATAACCATCAGGTCAAGTCAAGCAACTTATGCCTCGTATCAAATGTTACAAATCTACAACTAGGTGGGAGATCAGAATCTATGGCTCGGACAAAGAAATTGATAAGGGAGTTGGTTTTAACACAAGAGCCTCAAATGAGATAAAAGTTCTCATGTTTGGAGGTTAACCTGAAAAGGCCTCTAGGTTTATGCCTGCACTCCCACATTGTATATTAACAACACAAGCATTGGTTTCATATAAACCAAATTATAAGGGCGGTTTTAGTGAACAATGATCTTGTTTTTGGTTAATGGGTTATCACAGTTTCAGCAAACACAGGTTAATCGTACATTCCCTCTCTCTTTAGCTCCGTGGTCTCCTCAGCTGTTGAATGCTCAAGGCTGATGGAAGCAGGGTTTGAATAGCAGCAAACTGAAATAATGAGCCAAACAAGGCTATAGTACTGAGGGATTGATAACTTTGTGGGCTCAGCACTATGCGTCACACATTTTACACTATAGTCAAATCCCTTAATCAGTTGATATATAAAATTATGTGTGTGTCTGTGTGAGCACGTAGGAATAGTCTTTAGGAAAAATGTTTGTGTTGACATTTTGTCTGCAGCAGTTCCACATTCCTTTTCATTGCAGTCATAACAATGTGGCAATTCAAGATAAGGAGTCATATAATTTGATATGATTTTATTTTTCAATGCTTAATTCAATGCTTAATTTAGCACAGAAATTAAACAGTTCCTGTCTTGGAGGTTCCTAGTTACCAGTCAATTTACCATCACACACCTGTCACTTGATTAGTTTCCTGTCCCTGCACTTCCCAGCCAGGAAACCCCTTTAAAAACTCTGTCCACCTTCTTGTTCTGTGTCTGATTTCCCTGTTGTGTCTTCATTCCAGTGTTTGTCCTTGTGTAGTTTCCCTGTCTATGATCCTTGCTTGTGTTTCTGGGCTTTCTGGGTGTTTGCTTGCCTCTTGCCAGTTTTGGGTTGCAGAGTTTGGACTGTCACCTTGCGTTTGAACATTCGGACTGTGAGTAAAGCCAACGCCTTTTATTTTAAACCCTGGTTGAAATCTTGCTGCAATTAAAAGTGAATGGCTTGTAAGTTTTTCTGGCAAGTGTGTTTACAATCACACTGATAGATTTTATTTCCAGGGTGTTATCATAAAAGGAAACAGCTCACATAAACCACAAATAGTTCCCATTGGTTCCTTTCAAATATGACCACAAAGTATTTTTTTACATCAAATCTAATGGAACCTTAAACACAGTAAGTGGCAAAACAGAAAAAACACATTTTGGTACAATCATTTGTGACAGACTTGGAAGGCAGCCTGTACTGATAAACTAGGCCATCCAGCTATTCAGTGCGTGAGATCTGGAAATGCTCACACAAATCCTTATTGAAGACAATGACTCCAGAGCTATCAGTCAGTAACACTCAAAAACAATCTGAAAAATATACATGACATAGTTTCACTGTTTATTTCACTGAAGCAGAGACAAGGTGCTCACTCAGACACTGCAACGCTGTCTTTTTAAAATTAAGTTTCTATGCACAATTCAATTATGCAAAACATAATTCCGCCCCTTCATACATCTCAGATCTCCTACAGCTATACTCAACCTCCAGACCCCTCAGATCAGACTCTGCCTTCGCTGTTAGAGCTCCATCCCTCTGGAACAGTTTACCCTCCGCACTCAGAACGGCAGAGTTTGTGGATTCCTTCAAAAAACTTCTTTAAACTAATATCTATCACCTAACCTTCACGAAATGATGTCTCTAAATTATACACTGCTGCTTATGTTTATATCGTTTGCTCTTTATATTTGTTATGTTTACACTTAGTCAGTTTTATGTATTGTTTATTTTGCTTGTGTCATCCTGAGAAACACTTTGTATGTAGGATACGAGACTGGAATCTAAATACATGGTCTGTATTTATAGAGCACTTTCCTAGTCACCACTTAAAATGATTTACAGTACAGTTTTTTACAATTAGTTATTTTTTCAAGGCAAGGCATTTTTGTGCAGCACTTTCTCTATTACAAGTCACTCACACGATGTTGGCACAGCCATCGTGGGCAGTTTGGGGCTCAGGATCTTACTCAAGCATACTTCAGCATGTGTGATGGGGAGACTGGGATGGAACCGCCTTTCTTTTGGTTACCGCTCAACCTCCTGAGCCAAAAATTAATGGGAGGAGGTGGACGAGCTGATTCTGTTTGTCAGTTACAAAAATACAAGGAAACAGTGTGTTTTTAATTCTCATGAATTTCTCAGACCTCTCAGCCATGTATAGAATGACAAGGTTGTTTCATTGGTTTCTCTCTTCTCAGCCAATGAGTCAAGGATGACTTAAGAGAAGACTTTGCAGTTATGCCATTAAAGGTAGTGTTACATTTCACCAAGCACTGATATAGCTTCAAAGTCTGCTGCCACACACAACAGTAGAGCTACGATCATACTGAAATGCTATTTATCAGGGTTTTTCACTTTCTCTGATACTTATCCGACTCTGTCTCTTCCTCCTTAATTTGTTCGGTGAGACATTCGGCTGCATGTTGTAGAATGCATTCTGTCACACTCTTTTTTCTTCCAGTTACTGAGACAGTAACTTGTTTCAGATACTGAACCTTTTGTACAACCTGTCACACTCCAGTCCTCCAGCGCTCTGACTTCTCCTTCCCTGATTGGATGGTTGTGCCTCTCGTTGCCTGCTCCTCACCATTAACTGACCACTCATCCTGACACTTGGCTATTACTCTGTATTACATACTTGTCACACACTTTACCGCTCCCCCTCCCTCACTCATTTTCTCCTTACATCTCCAGCTCCACTCCAACTCTGACAAGGGTGATGGCTCTGTGCGATACATCTTGTCCGGTGAGGGGGCCGGGTCCGTCTTTATCATTAATGAGACAACGGGTGACATCCACGCTGCCAAGAGCCTGGACCGCGAGAGGAAGTCCCAGTATGTCCTACATGCAAGGGCCATCGATCGGCAGTCAAACCGCTCAGTGGAGGCAGAGTCAGAGTTCATCATCAAGGTCCAGGATGTCAATGACAATGCTCCAACATTCCCTGATGGACCGTTCTCAGCCACTGTGCCTGAGATGTCTGACGTTGGTAAGACAGGAGCCCTACACAGACTCTGACGCAGTCAGGACACACAAGCGTAACCAGTCATGAACACTATCAGTGCTGAAAATGGCTCACCTAAATTAGAGTTGTCATAATTAATGTAATCATTAATATCATTACTTTTTATGCTATGACTCAAAATCATGTCTAAACCCATGAGAGCTGTTCACCTGAAAAATCTACACTGCAGCAATATTTAGTTAATTAAAGTTCTGCAGTATCGTTTAACAACTGGCAAGTCATTATGAAAACTTAGAAAATAATGTTTTCTTCTTTACAGAACGCAAATATAATTGTTTAGTTTCAAAACAATCCATAAGACAAATATATTATCACTATCATAAATTGATAGTGACACTTTAGAAGCCTATAGTTGCCCCTTTTCAGAGAGTGTCTAGGTTTCTTACATCGGATTTGTTGAAAGCTGAAACATGACACTGAACGTTTATGTCCTTACTCTAGGCTGAATGAATATTTACTACTGTTACTGTTTTTAGCCTAAAACAGTAACTACAGTGGAAGCCTCTTTTTGTGATCACGTTTGTCCCAGGCAAAAATGATCACTATAGGCGGATGAGTACAATAACCAAATTGTGTAGCTTCTGTATGATTGTCCCAGAACTTGAAGGAAAGGTAACACTGCACACCCATGTATGTGCACTTGCACACACACAAACACACACACACACACACACACACACACACACAGACTGGTAGTGTGCAGTTAGCAGTGTGCAGCGCAAATGATTTCAGATTATTTATTTTGGTAATGAAAACTGAAAAAGCTATTTTTTGAAGTACCTGTGTAAGTGGGTTTATGTATGTTTATTTGCATCAAGAGAAGTGTCTCTAATGTGCCAGAAAAAACAAAAACACATAAAAAAACTTATGCGAATATACTCTTTTTAGTCCATGAGTAGAATTTAAATGACTCTACGAAAACACATATAACAGCAAATAATAGGAGGATATGGAAACCAAATTGCTCCAGGCTGTTACTGGGTGGATGTTTAGTGTTTGGAGCATTATTGAAATTGGACCATATTTTTCTTGATATTCATCAAGTGTGTGTTTTCTCTTTCAGGGACACAAAACATGTCACCTGTTTTTGTAATTTAAGAATTCTTCACAGTGCCTCCCCTGCTATGGAGATTAGTAGAAAGCCCTCCCACTAATCCCCATCATAAATCAAGCAACATGACTTTGTAAAAAGAGACGGCTAACAGAGCATGACGACCAGCTGAACTCGTTGCAACATTTTACTAATTACAGTGTCTGCCTTTAGTTCCTGTCTTTGTCAAGCCAAGTCAATTTTCTTTATATAGCCCCAAATCATAACAGCATTCATAGAGAGAACAGCAAAATCCAATTTCCATTTTGAGATGGATAATAATAGCAATAATCATAGTAGTAGTAGGTCTAATATTAAGGCTAATAATAATACTTGTCGCAGTTGGTGTTGAACATGTGGCTTTTAGTCCCAGAGGTAACCCCCACTCAATTTCTGGAGGCTGAAATACCTACAGAAAGTGACAGGAGAAGGACAGCACATAACTACAGGAGTAAAAAGATGCAGAGTTAGCAACATGCATTAATGGGATGTCGATGTGTACAGATGGAGAGAAGAGCTTAGTGCGTCATGAGAAGACCCCCAGCAGTCTAGGCCCATTGCAGCATTACGAAGGGACGTTTTAGGTCTCTCCTGAGCTCTTTAGTGCCAGACCATTAAGGGCCCTGAAGGTGAGGAGAATGATTTAAAATTCTGGATTTTAAAGGGAGCCAGTACAGGGAGGCTCCTAGGAGAGAAATCAGATCTCTCTTCCTAGTTCTTGTTAGTACTTGTGCTGCAGCATTTTATCCACTGTAGAGTCTTTGGGGACTTGCTAGGGAAGCCTGATGATAATTAATTGCAACAATTCAGCCTAGAAGTCACAGACACATGGGCTAGTTTTTTTCCTCTGTGTGCATAATGTGCCTGATTCTGTACAATGTTGCGTGTGTGAAAAACTGGATTTTGGATTACTGCCTGCACCCCTCTGAATGTGTTTCCTTGGTGAGACTGTCCTCCCTGGTTTTGACTTGAATCCTTGACTTAAGACTGAGTGGTCCAGGACATGGTACAGAACAACAAATAGGGTTAATAGTAGACTAAGAACAAGCTTTAGACAAAGATGATTGATGTTAGGTTTATTAATAGCTTGATTAATAGGCTTGACTTTAAAATGGCTGCAACGCCTTCTGGACACATTCATCACGACACAACCCAGTTTCAGTAATATAGAATAAATGAATTGGTGTTTTTGGACAAGAGGAACTTTTTCACAGCGGCAAGAACTGGGACTGATCGTAGTTCTAAGAACATTGTTTTGAAGGATTGTTTTAGCTCCTACTTCATAGTACTGATTGATAGTGTGATTGATGTAAGTATACAATGATTGGTCCAGACCTAAATGTAAATTAATTGAAAGAAAACATAAAGCACCAAATTCAGCCTTTGAAAAAAAAAAAGTGAAACATTCGCAATGAGAACAAGAATTTGTAATCGTTTTTTAGCTCATACAAAATTTAACAAAAAATGTTGTCTGTTGATTTGCCCATGATTACTAACAGCTCCAACCATATCCTCCACCTAGTTGATGTTGTACAAAGAATTATACAACATGCTGCATTGAAGATAACACCAAATAGACTAAAACATGTATGGAAGTGAAGGGGAGGTCTGACAGGAGGGTAACTGCTAGTGTTATGACTGTGTGACACCTTTAGCACCAGTAAGTATTGGTGAGCTGCTAGCATAAGCAAATGAAATAAACACATCAATGAGTTGGTCCATACACCAAATATTTATTTGTCTCTTTATTTAAATTGGTAAATCATAACACACAATTAAGGACTGTCAAAATGTTGTCTCACTAGTTTAACATGAATTACTCAACAGCAACTCCTCCAAGGGCCAACTGTCCCTTTAAATTCAATTAGGAAGCACCAAATTACATGTACTCATATATCAGATATCAGTCCCCTAAATATGCTGAATTTAGATTTGCCCCTTGTCTGGATTAGAGCCTCAATTGAATGGGTTCTTTCTTGGCCCATGTCCCATTCTACCACTAAGTTTCAGGAATAATATGTTGAGTAGTTTTTGTTTTCCTGCTGACAAACAAAAAAACAAACAAACCAAAGCATAACCTTCTTGATGGAGGTAATAAAAAAACCACATTGGTTAGTGAAGAGTTTTGAACACCTCAGGAACCCTAATTTTAAATGAATTTAACATTTTATGCCCAGCAGGTCTGCCATGATGAATGAGATGGATAAAAGCTTTGGCGTCACCTGTCTGCTGCTACATGGTCAGGCTAATGGGCTGTGGCTCTTTACAAGAGCACCGCTGACAGCACACGCTGCATTTTACTGCAGCTCGTACTTCACATTCAGGGGGAAGTTCAGTATGTCACATTTACATAGAAACAAGATACTTTCATACTGTTAAACAAAATAGATTGTGGCTTAGTTTTCATTTTAGATTGTAATCAGATGCTAGTGCATCGGTAGTGACAGCAACATTGTGTTTAGTGTTCAGGCATGCTTGTGATCTAATGTGTTTGGGAGGTTTGTTTTCTGAGCTAGAGAGTGGTTACAAGGATCAGAGTTGCTCTTAAAATCGCAGCCAATTTGATAGAAGCTATCATTTCATGTTAGGTAGAGACCTTAGAGATATATACGTGAAGTACACTCAGGGGCGGATTTCCTGGGGGGACAGGGGGTCCCCCACCTCCAGAGAGGTGTCACTCTCAATATCATTGCAAACATAAGCAATGATAATGTTAAATAGTGATACAATATTTACTGAACAAAATAAAGCATTCTTAAATTTTGACAGATTGCATCCCCCCTCTTCTTGCCTCACAGTGGTTTAGTCCACTGCGCACTGCTCCCCCTCCCATGTCACACACTCACACTCTCTCTTCCTCTCTCTCTCTCTCTCTCTCTAAGAGCGAGGTCATCTCAGTGTTGACTTAATTTCCTCAAAGTCACAGCTTTACAACAGTTAACTTAAAGCAAAGAACGTGTCAGACTCCTCTTTTTATTTCTATCACTAAGTAGAATAGAACACATTTACATTTAATTAGACAACATGTTGTTTGTTTTACTTCACAGCTGAATCTTGAATCTAACCTGGGCCACCTTGGTTCATGTAGCTGCGTCTTCTAATGCATAGGTCAGGCTGGAGGTCTCCACAATAAAAATGTTTTTAAGGCTGTGAATTTTCAACATTTGGGCCGTTTGCTATGTTAAAACTGTTAGGTATGTATATATGTCACATAATGCTTGGTTATAGTAATATTACTATAATATTTAAAGGAATAGTTCACCAAAAATGAAAATTCACACATCCACTCAACATGCCAAAGAAGGGGTGAAGTGTTTTAGTCAATAAAACACTTTAGGAGTTTGCGGGGTAAACAGTATAATGTATACTATATACTATTCACATGTATATATATATATACACAATACATTTAGTGGTCCCTTTTGGTGTCCCCTCCAGAAATTGAAAAAATGTTCTGTTTATCATCGCCCCCGACTGTAAGATGATAGATTTGCCCCTGAGTGCACAAGTCGAAAGATTGAAGGTCAACTTAAGTTGTTTTGACCACAGATGTTATTCAGTTGATGGTATTGGTACATGTCTTTGACATGGCTTTTAGGAGAATAATAAGGAGACAAAAGAGAAAAGAAAGTAATTTGCACAAGGCAGGATAGAAATAAACAGCACTAATGGCAGGGTGGATCATTAACAGAGGCCAAAGGCCTTAGTGAACAGGTGCTGTTTGAGGAGTTTTTTGAAGCTGTCAAGAGAGGGTGGGGGCTGCGACACAGAAGGCTCTGTTTTCAAAAGTTTGGCAGTTTAGTGTTAGGGATGGAGAGCAAACATGTACTTGAGGAACGCAGTCTTCTGAGCGGAGTGTAGGGGTGGAGGAGGACAATAAATTGGCATATGATGACATAAATAGTAAAACGGCATGGAGGGTCTGCACCCTGGTCATCTTTGCTTCTACTTCTACCTGTGTCCACCACCTGCTCCCCTCAAAAAGCTAAATTCAATTAACACAAAGTATTTTTCAACCTGGGTTTTATTCTCAAAATTGTGGGCATTCTGAGGTAGGTCATCCTCTTTGACCATTAACTGCACCAATGCTCTCATTCATTTTTGGGTTGAGGTAAACTAAGGTGTCTCAACTCCGGCATCATGCTGCTTCAACCGAGGTAAACTCAGTAAAGTGTCCTTAGATCATTCTCTTTTTTTTCTCCAGGGGTGGTCACTGTTGTTGCCTATCTTACAGACAGCTGACCATTGGGTCCAGAGTGGGCATCTGTCTTTTCTTCCAAATGGTTTTGGGTGGTGTCTCAGCTGTTTGTTGTATTTGCACTTAATTATCTAATCTTTGGACATGTTGAAATGTCTGTCATCAACTGTTGCCTCTCTCTCTCACTGCAGCAATGTTTTTCTTTTCTTCTCAGTCGGCTGTGGAGCATACAGAAACACCACTAGTGACATTTTCATTTTGATATAGCTGCCCATCAGTATACTTCATCTAATGTTGCACTGCATAACCAGCCATTGCACTTTGGTTTTTTAAAATGCTGTTAGAAGAAAATAATGTGAATAAATTCTCTCTCAATTCCTGTTACTACTCCAGCATATACTCATGTTAAATTGGTAGTCTATCTCTGGGGCTATATTCAGTTAACTACACTGGCTCATTTAGGGGGCTGCCACTGTGTTTACTTAAGTTTTGACAAGCTGTCAGAATGGTTCATGTAAAATTGATGCTTTGTATGAAAGCTATGAAAGTTTAACTGTTCGGTTGTGGTCAAAAGTGTTCTGTTGCACCAATAATGACACCCAAAAAGGGTGTCACAGGGTCAGGGAGTGCATCTGAACCTTGCTGCAAGGTTCAGTAAGTTAACCTGGAGCTGGTCTCCAGTGATGGCTGAGTTTAGCCTTAATCATATTAAAGCATGGAAACAAGCAGAGTTGCAGACCAGCATATCCTTCCAAACTACAATCAGTGGTGTGTGTATGCCAACATTTTAGACACATGCACACTGTTTAACATGATGAAGAGCTTCTTTGTTGTATTTGGCTGAAAATGTGCTGCTGCTTGGCAAGAACAGAGAAAGGATGTGGAACACATTAAAACAGTGTGAGAAATGGAGGTCCTTTTGCTTTTCTAGTCCATGAGTAGTTGGTACGATTGTATTGTGGACAGTCTGCATGGTCACACATTTTAGGATGTTCATTTGAACCCTTATGAACTTGGACAGATGATGAAATTTGATACACTTTAATATAATCTGCAGATCAAGGTGGCCCCTGTTTGAAATATACTATAGTCTGTTACATTAGGTAAATAAGTCACCCTACACCTAAATTATGTATACAAACATGTAGCCAGTGATTTGTCATTATCCTAACCTATTATTTTGTGGCCGGTGCCAATCAACATCTACTCACTCATATTTGTTCCTTCTATATACAGGGACATCCATCTTCCAGGTGACAGCCTTGGACGCAGATGACCCCACCTACGGGAACAGCGCCAAGATAGTTTATAGCATCCTGGAGGGACAGCCCTACTTTTCTGTCGATCCCAAGACAGGTAAAACTGCCTCTCTGTTTACTTGAAAGAGATCTTACCTGCTGCCTAGAGGAGGTTCAAACAGAAAGGCACAGTAGCTCGGGAGCACTTAGCACAAGGAAAGAGTTGTGATTATTAGTTTGTTGTCTGAGTCCATTAAATGTTTGGGAAAAAGTTCCAGTGAACTGCTTTTAGCACTGGAGCCAATTCTGTTGACAAGTAGCACAGGCGGCCCATCAGTTGACAGCCTCCCCCTGCTCCAGATTTTTACTAAATGTGACTTGAAATGTTATGTAAATGCATTTTAAAAAAAAATACATTAATACATTGCCAGTTTTTCCAAAACAAGAGATGAAAGCAACCATCTGTGATAATAAACTGGGCCTCATTGATCAAACATCACAGTGCAGAGGTCTATTGAGCTGCTTAATAGCCATCATGTCCCACGTAACATCTGGGATTTCCCCAGTGTTCCAAGTTTCAGTTTGATTACATGCGAGAGTGTATTGTCTGTGAATTGTGTCCATCTAAGGTTCAGTAGCATCGGGGTCACGGTGCCTCATGAACCACAATGTCAATGGTTTGTGTCCCATGGGGCTCCTTTTTATTGGATCTCTTTCAGTTTCCCTCTCACACCTGATTTTCTCTCATTGTCAGATTTATGTATGTTCAAAAGTGTGTTCTTTTAATGTCACTTGCACAGCTGCTACTACTTTTATATGCCACGTCGTTATTCAGGGATTCAGCAGTAAACAGGCACTGCCTCCAGTTTTAGAACTACTCTTATTCACAGATGGTTGCATCAGTCAGCATTTGTGTACACTTAATAAGACGTAGAGTTTAACAAACATGTTTATGTCTAAAAAAAAAAACATTAATGGAAGTGACCCAAGAAAGCTAGAGAAACAGAAGCTAATCCAAATGTGGGCATCACTTTGGCTCTCTCCACCCATCCCAACAGTTATTTCCCTGCCTCACTGGTCCCCTTACCCTCAAGATAGTATCCGAGTTCCTAAATACCACTTATCATCTGTGCTTGATAGGTATAAATGTAATTTCCCTCTTTTCATTATTAATGGTTTAAATGGTTGAAGTATTGTTGCTAACCTTTGGTTGAATTGTTGAAAGTTTGTTTCTATCACATCCCCATTGCCAGACAATATTTATTACATTAAACTCAGTGACAAAGTCTGAAAGTCAGTGCTGTCTACAAAATATACCCATGACAACAATGGCACAAGTTAGGATCCTGGGGCTTGGACATGTCAGTGACAGATGTATGCCTAAAATGAATGGTGAGACAAATGTTGAAAATATGGTGTGGTGGGAAATCTTGGCAACCAACAGAAATTGGGACGAAACAATACCATTCAAAATCAAAACAATTAATCAGAGATGGTGCAGCACTATATTTTCACACTGTGACTGGAGGGTTTAGATTCCTCAGCCTGTGGTGGCTGGATTATAATATAACCTAAAGCATCAAATAGTGAGCGGGACCTTCATTGGCAAAGAGAACCCGGTTTTTTCCAAAGTTCCCTTGTTCCTTAGTTAATGCAGACTCAACATGTTGCACACATTTACCAGTTGTCCTAAAAAACAACAATATATTTGTACATTTCCAAAGCTTTAGTTCAATCCATGCACACTCCACTATTTATTTGTCCCTGATCAAAGATAAGCTACCATGAATAAACACAATTTTATTTTTTACATTAACAAATTTGAAGCCATGTCTTTATTGTTAGGCTTTTATGCTAAGTACGGAATAGAGGCAAAAAGTGGAACTAATGCAGATATAAAACCTAATTTCTGTCTGAAAAGGAATACATTGTTGAGTGTGACATGGATGTAGTTGTACTGATTGAATTACTGCTATGGAAATGAACATAATACTGAATGCTCATATTTGTAAGAGGCTACAGGCAATATCACCTCCTCAATGTTCTCAGCCTATATTTGTCCACTCAGCCTATATTTGTCCACTCACTTCACATCTATTCAAACACTGTGCAGCCTCAAAGGTCACACTACTAATTTTAATTCTCATACAATGGGATCTGTCAAGTGAAAGAAGGCTTGAGCATCTTTTAATTTAAAATGAAACTGTGTCTTACTCATACTAGTAAAAGATTTATAATTTTACTAAGTCAAAATGATTTGCAACAAAGCTGCGGGGACCTATATGCATTGCAAGTCAAATGACAGACTTCAGAAAAAAGGCTCCATGTGAAATAAGCTCTCTGTCTAGCTCTGTCTTTGCCAAACAAAAGCTTTTCCAGGCATGATACCATGTCCATAAAAGACACAAGAGAACAGGCCTGGTAGAGACGGTGTACAGAGACTATTGAAGTGTCCTCTGTGTGCTTTTCAAAGCATATTCCATTCAATGTGACTGGAATTAACAGGAGCCAGAAAATGTTGCAGGGTCCATATCTACTTGTCGTGTGTGTGTGTGTGTGTGTGTGTGTGTGTGTGTGGTCGCTCATGTCTGACAGCTGCACAATGAGATAGCCAGAATGTGGATCTAGCTATTTTAGTGTGGCACCATTTCATTTATGTTAAGTATCACTTATTGTAGTCCCCATTGAGTATAATATAAAATACTGCATGTCTGTTTACTGCTTCTGGCAGAACAGAATATGATAGATAGTGTGGCACCTTCATTCTCGAATAACACACTCTGCACCCAGAACAATGGCTTTCCTTGATGTGGTTGCCATATATTCCCATTCACTTTGGTAGTCGAACAATAGCACATGCTCCTATTTCTCAAACACTATCCAAAGAAGTGCAGCTTACTTTGAAATAACTTCTTTCTCCCCATTTATTTTTCATAATAAATGCAAAATGATAATATATCAAATAATCTTATATCAAAAGAATTGTATTCAAATGTGTTGAAGCAAACGACCGCTCACATTGAGTCCAGTTTTGCAAGGTCTTTTTTTCCTGTTAAAAGGAGTGATCCAGATTGGATCAAATCCTGAAAACGGGTTGTGAAATTGAATAAAATTGCATAATCCAATTTTAGTTGTAATCCGGATCAAACCACTACTAGATTTGGGTGGATTTGATGGGGATTTTGGCAACCAAATACAAAAATAACCCTACCATACACATAAAAGTTTTATATTATTTAGTTTGTGCTGTTTTATGTATTTTTAAATGAAAACACATAAACAGTGACCCCACATTGTCTATTACACATGTAGTTTTTCACAGAGGGCATTTTTTAAATTTCTGATCACTTTTTCCAGATAAAATATTTTGAACAACTGGCCCCTTGTGCTTGCTCACAGTTGGGTAGCTCACTGGTATATAAAGGTCTTAACCTTACTATGTCAATTTCCCTGAATGTGTCATTAAAGTGAAACTCAGCCCCAAGCCTTTTGAGTATGAAATACTCACCCCGTCGATATTAACGGTGGCTCTGAAAAGTTTGTTTCTCCCTCCTTGATGGTAGATGGCAGATGTAGTCAGGATGGATTCATTGCACTTTGCTTGACTGCTAAAGTTTAAGCATTTTTTATGGGGGGGAAAAAGTTTAAAATATATAGAGAAACTTCTCAAAGCACTTCTGCAGACTAATCCACGTCTCTGCTGTCAGCATTTTTAGAACACTCATATTTTTCACAGTTTTCATATTGATCGTCCCACACAAACCTCGTGTGTGTGTGTATGTTGATTTGTAGCTACATGACAGAGCGCCCACCTTCTTTTGTTCATTTTGTCAATTAGTTCCTGATCTGGGTGTCACACAGAACCAGAACATAATGCAAGTTTTTTTTTAGCAGCAGTCTTTGCTCTGTGCACTGTAGGCTGTGCGTTGTTCTTATGTTGGTATCAGCACTTTTATGCACATACTGTTCCTGCAAACCTTCACAGTTCTTCTTAAGTCAAGGACAGATTCAATGATGACTACCAGAAGGGCCCCAGTGGGACTGCATTATATGGATGCACTGTCAGAACATCTAGGCTGAATCTACAAGTCCAAAGGAGTCAGCACTTACCACAAACCACTCAGCTCCGAAAGATCTCAGGTGATGCAACCAGAGGGAACACTGGTTAACACATATTACATGTTACTGTCTGAAGCTTTTAGACAGAGTGAATCCTTCACCCCACCTTGATCATGTGAACTAAACCTCAAAGGGATAGTTCACCGAAAAATGTAAATTCACTTGTTGTCTACTCACCAGTATGCCGATGGAGGGGTGGGGGAAGTGTTTGAGTCCACAAAACACTTTTGGAGTCTCAGGGGTAAACAGTGTTGCAGCCAAACAATTGAAGTAACTAGTGACTCTTTCTTTAGACTTAACTAACAAGAGAAAAAAACATGAAATACCTCCATACTGCTCCTGTGGTGTCATCCAAGTGTCCGTAAGCCCCGACTTTCAAATTCGACTCAGAACTGGACCATTTACACCATGTTTTAACCCAAACTGTCTGCTGTGATCCACATGTGAACGCAGATCTTAGATCTTTCTTCATGTTTTAAACATATTTTTTAGGCATCAACATGAACTAACAATGGATTTATGATCCAAACAAACATAAATCAGTGTGATAAGAAATATGTTTAAAACAACAGTAACCATGTCTGGGGAAACATTTAACAGTAACAAACATTTTTTATCATTAACGATGCAGTGGTAGCAAACACCAGCAGCACCAGTGTCGGTGCCAATGCTATTGATATACCTGAATCCATCAGGCCTCTTAGAGAGCAAATCTGTTAATGAGGACTATAAAGACTGAAGCTTTGTGTTCTAGTTTGTTGATGTTTTAGATACCTGAAGCGTTTTCTGAATTCGTCTCTACAGCTCTGCTGGAAATGTCTCATCTATCTTTCATGAGTCATCCACACAAATAAGAAAAAATACCACTCCAGACAAAACAATGCACTCAGGAATCCAAGGTTCATCGGCATCATTAACTCTGTTAAACTGCGATTTCTCCTGGTGGGAGGTTAGCTAATAAAAACTGCAGACTAAATGGGCACAGCAATTGCTGCCCTC